CCCTTCCCTGCCCACGCTCCAGCCCCTCAGTGTCTCTCCTGGCTGAGGGGCCAGAGCTGCCCCAGCACTGGAGGTGCCTCAGCAGGGCCAGCACAGGGACAGTCCCTGCCCTGGGACACCCCATGGCTGGCACAGCCCAGGGCCCATTGGCCTCTTGCCCACCTGGGCACCCCTGGCTCGTGTCCAGCCCAGTGCCATCTCCACAGAGCTGTCTCTCAGTATTCAACAAGTTAAAGTTTCCAGGGCAAGTTTTGCTCTTTATTTCCTTCCCCTCCACCTCAGCCTTAAAAGCCACCTACCTTCAGGTCAGGGATGCCATACCCCTTCCTCAGGGTGATCTGAAAGACCTCCAGGGAGCTCAGGAATGCTGCCAGCCGGGTCAGGCTCTGCTTCCCACTGCCCCCCACGCCCACCAGGAGCGCGTTCCCTCGGGGGGACTCCAGGATGCGGTTGATGCGGCAGCTGAATTGAGGGATACAAAATCTCTCATTAATAGGAGTATTTTTCTATTTCTCTGCCTGGTGCTTTTCAATACATATTTTATTCACTAAGAAATTGTATTCTGAGCGGGATGAAAAATGTCAATCTCAGAGCCATGTCAGCAATCGATGCCCAGCTCTGCTGAGACCTGCAGAGGACTTTGCTGACAAAAAAAAAAAAAAAGACCAGTTCGGTGGCAATTCAGACTGTGCCCAATTTTTTTCCACCTGCCAAGTCCTGCTGGACAGAACTATGTCAAAGTGAAGGTCTGGGTATCTTTGCAGGGAGGGAAAGGGGAGAAAGGACAATACATTGACATGAAACACCTGAGAACAAAAGTCAAGGCTGTTATTTCTGGGTCTGGTCATTTGTCCTGTCTAACTGTCACACAGTGAACTCTGTCTGCCTTTCCTTTATGCTCTTTAGGCAAATTCTGACACGCCCACATGTTAATACACCCCAGGTGAGGAGGGTCCAGAGGAACTTACTTGTGGAACCCTCACTGATCTGTGTCTGAAACTCAAGCACTGTTCCCCTCTTTTATTTCTGCCTTTATCCAGCACTACCTTTATTCATCTCTCTTCACTATTTCCCTATAATACAGTTATTTTTCAAATAAGACTGTGGGAAACACTGCACTGCTTTATTACAGCTCAAGTATTTTATGATCTATGCACAGACTCCAACTGATTTTTTATCATTTTATAATTACAATTTAATAATGTCTGTGAAATTATTACCCTAAAAGTAATCCAGACTGTGAGGAGAGCTTCAGCATTCCTGCTCTCAATTTCCCAGGCCAGCTCTGCCCAAGGATGCCACTGTGGTCTCTAGGGTGACTCGCAGGTATCTCCCACATCCCTACATAGATAAAGTCCTCAAAATTCCTATTTTCTTCTTTTAATTTCCTCTGAACTGAAAATCTTCTGCGAATTCAAGCTGATATTCTGAAGCAGTTTGAGATGGAAGAAGTTGTGTATTTCAGCCAAATGTAATTTCCAAATGCAATTAATGGAATTCCCCCACCTCCAGTGAAATCCTGCTGGATACTCAACCCTTCCTTTCATGATTATCCCCAGAATTAACTGGAGGGAGAGTGAAGTGTTTTGTCACAAATCCCAATTTATGTAAAGTGCAAGAGGAGCACAGGGCCAACATTCCTGTGAGCTGCCTGCAAGCAATGCAAGCAGAAACGCTTAGGGACATCAGGGTGACCCATTAATGCAGAGGAGTGAATGAATGCCCAGCCTGCCAGGGAATAGGTGCCCCAGGCCATTGGAAAAAGGGACAAGTTGGGAGCTCTGGGAACAGATACAAGCAGTTGGTTAACAGGAGTAGCACACACACACACACACATATATATATATAGATAGATAGATAGATAGATAGATATTTAATTTGCATGACAGCAGCTACATTAGGCTGCCAGGTCCAGTGAGAACTGACACCCCCTCCCGGGTGTGCAATAGGACAGTGCCTTCCCTCCAACTTAGAGTCCCAGATCTGCACCTCCTGGGCCAGTGTTTTCATACAAAATCAGATACAGCTCTGATTGCCAGGGTAGGTCCATGTTCTGAAGTGATCCAAGGCCAGCTCTGCATTTCAGCACCCAGAAATGACTCTGTCTCTGCTGGGATCACCACAGGCTGTGTTTGCAAGCTGGGGTTGCACCCCACTATATCCCAGGCATGGAAACACCTTCCTAATGATCAGCAGGAGGCTTGTTATTTTCATACAGTCCCACACGTCCAATTTCCAACAGGAATCCATCTGCACATCCAGGCATCTAAATGCAAGTGGGTTTTCCAAAGGATCAAAGCAGTTTAAATGCCTCCATCCTTTCAAAGTAGTAGTTGAATGCACATAATCTCACTTTATATTCATAGGAAAATCCCACTAAGAACCTGTGTAAAAGTGGCTCTAAACCAGCTGTAAAAGCACTTGGGGAAATCCCAGTACAACCAGTTCTGTGCTGGGTGTCAAGGGAAGACAATACAGCCCTTGAAGGTTGTCATATGTGATAAATGTTTGTGCATCAAGGGCCAAAGATTCCATCACCCCACACGGGCAGGTGAAGCTTCATCACCCCTCCAGCTCCATCAGCTGCAATTATCACAGAATCATGGAACTGGTAAGGTTGGAAAACACCTTTAAGATCATCAAGACCAACTGTCCAGCAGCACCCTGTCTCTGGAAGAGACTGTGACTCCACCACTTCCATGGGCAGCCCGTGAGAGGGCTTGACAACCCTTTCAGGGAAGAAATATTCCTTGATATCCCACCTAAACCTCTCCTGGCACAACCTGAGGCCATTTCCTCTCATCCTGTCCCTTGGTCCCTGGGAGCAGAGCCCAACCCTCCCTGGCTCCCCCCTCCTGTCAGGGATTGCAGAGCCAGAAGGTCCCCCCTGAGCCTCCTTTTCTCCAGGCTGAGCCCCCCCAGCTCCCTCAGCCCCTCCCGCATCCTCCAGGAAACTCCATGAAACAATCTGCACGTGCAAATGCTATGGCAAGACCCTAAACCAGAAAATCCCCTTACACATGGCACATGGCATCCTCAAACAGCACCAGGTTCATGGCAGCGTTGACTTCATTGTAGTTGTCCAAGGCTTCCACGAGGATCTGGTTCAGCTGCTCCCAGGTTGGGACTGGCCTGTAGGCAGGTTCCCCAGAGCCTTTAGCAAAATGGCAAAAAATATTCATGTGCTTGGTCTGCTCTAAAGTTTCTTCCACGTCCTGTAAAAGAGAGAAAAAAATGTATATATGAAGTATAGAAACCGCAGTGCAGCTCTGTGCCTCCTTTCAAGGGAAGTATGGCATTCCTGCCTTTTCATGCTCACACAGCTGCACCTGCAACTGCAGTCTGAAAAGGGGAGAGACAAGAGAGAAAGAGGGGGAAAGGAAAATTCCCAGTAGTGACTTCCTTTCCAATAAACCCATCCTGTGTCAACGTCAGAGTTACACCTCAACACTTACATCATAGAATTTCTTCACCATCTCCCTCTGGATTTTATCAAAGGTACTATAATCGTTTGCTTCAACCATCTTATCCCGATACACCCGGCTGGACTCGTGCAGGTAGAGCTTCAGCAGGTCCTGGGGTTCCTTCAGACATTCAGGGGTAGAGAACAGGAGGCCCTGTGGAGAGCAGAGACACTCAGGAAACCCAAGCTTGACCTGAGGGACCTCAGGCATCGCGCTGGAGTGTGGCTGAGTCACCCTTACAGCAATCTGCAATTGAGCTCCTGAGTGAACAGCCCTAGAGAATGTGCCCTTTGTTACCCCAAATGTCCCAAAGCCAATTATCATGGAATCCCAGAATGGTTTGTGTTGGAAGGGACACGTCCCACCCCCTGCCATGGGCAGGAACACCTTCCACCAGCCCAGGTTGCTCCAAGCCCCGTCCAACCTGGCCTTGGACACTTGCAGGGATGGGGCAGCCACAGCTTCTCTGGGCAGCCTGTGCCAGGGCCTGCCCACCCTCACAGGGAAGGATTCCTTCCCAATATGCCATCTAACCCTGCTGTCTTTCAGTTGAAGGCCATTCCTCCCTGCTCCATCACTACATAACCTTGTCCAAAGTCCCTCTCCATTCAGGAACTGGAAGGCTGCACTCCCTGGAGCCTTCTCTTCCCCAGGCTGAACAGTTCTAATTCTCTCAGCCTTTCCTCACAGCAGAGCTGTTCGAGCTCTCTGATCATCTTTGTGGCCTCCTCCAGATCAGATACAACAGCTCCAGGTCCTTCCTATGCTGGGGACCCCAGAGCTGGACACAGTGCTCCAGGAGGGGTCTTACAAAACCTCCTTCACCAGCTGCACACACCATGGGGGTGCCTGTTTCCCACATTCTTTTGAATATTTATACACATTACACTCATTTTGACCCCCCTCCCAACCTCTCCCTGGCTGGGCTGGGGGTCCTGCTCTCAGCACAGGGACCATCCAGGGCCAGGCCCAGCCCTGCAGCTTTTCCATCCTCACCCCACACCAAGGGTGCTTTGTCAAGAAGGAAAAATAGTTTGGAAATGATAGTGGTGGTGATTTTTTTTTTTAATCAATTAATTTTAATTAGGTGCGTTCTGCCTGCAGGAAATATCAGTTGCTGTCTGCTTAGCACAGTATGTTTACCATGAACTCTATTAAAATTCATAAAAGAATTATGTTTCAAAGAGGTGTTGCCTATACTAAGCCTATTAACAGCACACAGGGTTTTCAATGGCATGAATTAAACAGACAGCTTTTATTCCTAACATCTAATTATTTATACATTAAATGTAAAATGCATTGAAAGCAATGTAAAGCAGGCCCTCTCAGCTCACTGGTCCATGGCTCAGATTGTTTGGGTTTCACATCTGTCATTACAGCTGCCAAAGTATTCTATTTATTTCAGAAAAAAAAATAAATTAGTGAGAAGAGATGACAACTAAAAGGGAGGAAGGAGAAAACCATCGAGCCCTAAACTGGTTAAAATAAAAATTAAAAATCACTCAGTTCCTCAAGAGTCTCTCATGCTACAAAAGCTGTTGTGTTTTTGATGCAAGTACATGACAGGCTACAGGGCCAAGAAAATCCACACCCCCCAAATCTGAAATCACTTACTTACTGAACACCTCCCCTCTTCTCACTCTGCAAATCCCCCCTCCTCACTACTCAGCAGTGACCAGCTCTTCCACCAACACAACCAGCTGCATCCCCACGGAGCAGTGGGGTCCTCCACGGGTGGTGAGGTCTAGGAGAAGCCATAACATCCATGTCTGGGATGCAGGAGGGACACGTGGCCATGGGCCACTGCATCTGGGATGGATGTGGTGCCAACATTAAAAAGAAAACAAAATAAAAGAGAGGGTGGAGAATCCCTTGTCCTGTGCCATGTCATTCCAGTTATCCTGCTGCCTGAGGAGTCCTGAGGTTGTATTTCAGCCAAATCTCTCAGCTTCTCCTCCTCGCCAGGACAGCCAGAAACTGGTTACAAAGCCCTCTCTGCTCTGCTGAGGCTTCTTGAGACAATGATATCAAATATTACAGAACCACAGATCACAGAATG